TTGCACAACTTGTAGTTCTCCAGTATGCACCTGGTATTCTCAGGCAAATCAAGCGTGAATAAGCGTCCGTCATTGCAAATAATGCGCACAAAATAGCCCCTATGATCAATCTCCACCTCATAGTTGCCCCATTCGAATGTTTGCGGGTGCAGCATTGACTCAACGGCGAAATTCACGTCGGGCAGCTTAAACAGCATCTTATAGAGAAGCTTAAAGCTGATTGCTAAAATACACATACATATATAGTAAATGGGATTTCTTTTGTACTTGCTATGAACTAACTCTGACTAATCGCAGCCGTTTCAATGTAGTCCAATTGGTAGACGGAATCAAAATGGAATTCGTTTGTGTAGAACACACGAAAATTATCCACGTAACGATCATTATAAGTGACTGCAGTGCCCAAATTGAATGGCTCAAACAAGATGACGTTACGGCTAAAAGCAATACAATTAAATCACTGATCGACTAATCGTTTACTCTGATTTATCGTGGCTTACTCACCGATACATGCAGCATAGGGCACGTAGCTCCAGCATGGTGCCGTAAGTCTTAGGCTTAGCCATCTCCAGCATATAGCTATCGAAATCGCCACGCACATGCTAACGATATGATCATAATTTATAGCTTAGTAAATATACATAGATCGCTGCTAAAGTTACCTGTTCGAAAATGCGACGCTTGCGCGTCATGAAGCGCACGCACTCCAAGCGCACCTCGTAGTGCAGCATTTGGGTGTCATACATCTGCTCAGCTATGACACGGAACAGGCAAGATGCATCCCTGGCCGTGTGCTTACGGTACATGCATCGGCTCTCCAAAAATTGGTCGTACGGATCTGGTGCCTGGCGGCTGCCAGAGGTGATTGGACGCCTCAACATCACAGCCATGTGCCGTTTAGCAATCTTCAATAAGTCCTGTAGAACCAACTAAATTTCAGTTTCAATAAACAATTAAAGCTAAAAATATACTCAGACCCAAATTGTCGATTTTACAAGTATTTTGAACAAAAATGTATAGCCTATTTGTTAAATCTGAAAATGTATAGCCTATTTGTTAAATCTGAATTTGTCAGTTAATTTAATTTTCAAATATATGTAGAAACGTCAGCCAAGCACGCTCTCATCTCTAGTGGCTGCTCTTATTTACTTTTTTATTTTCTTATTCCTGTCGCTTTATACTTTTCTTTCAAATTCATAAACTAGCGGCCATTTTTAAATTTGTTGGTCGTTCACTTTACTTGTCTCTTCTCGATTTGTAGACGTGTTAGTGAGGCTAGTGCAACGAACGCGCAAACAGAAAGCACCGTTACTTTTTGACGCTCGCGTTCATCGCCTTTTCTTGCGTACTCATGCATACATGCATATGTATAGGCATATGTGTATATTCATGGATGCCTGTGCCTAGGCAGTTTTCAATGCCAAAGCAGAAAATCTCAAAATTTGTATGCATGTATGTATGTACATATGTATGTATATGTTCAAGTATCTTCAAATTTACATATATATTTCTGACCATGTATATAATGGCAAACCTTTCTACATAAGAATTATACGAAAAAGAAAAAAAAAAGAAATTTTACTTACCCAAAATCGCTACGGCGAATTGGTTTTTAATTCGAAAACGTTTGAGGAAACAAAAAAATTTTCAATTTTCGGTAGCCAGCAAAATCAAATACGGCGGGATCTTGGGGCAACACACACGTAAAGTATAGATGGAGCAAATTATATGTACATATGTACACAAATATTTAAAAAACGAAGAAAATATTAAAAAAAAAAACAAGACAGACAAGCGCTTTTTCTTTTTTTTTTTTTGCTGTTATCCCTTGCCCGGCACTAAATACACTGTGCACTAGTTGCGAACTTAAACAATTCTAGTCTTCTTTTTGAACCAAGATTACAATCTGAGCATTTCTGGTTGCTATGATCGAATGAGTATCGACTTGATATCTAGTTGTATCGATATTTTATAGTAACAAGGATGCCAGAATCTTTAAGGAAAGTTAACAGAGCCGATGTTTGTACAAGATTAGTGACGGATGATCACAATTGAGTAGTTGGAATTTTCCGATAGTGCTTTTTTGAGAATTGTTTAATATCATTTACAGTGAGTGTATAGTTTTGCTAGGAACTTTTTTTGTAATTTGTCATTCCATTAATTCTCTGCGGCAGCAGACACATATTTGAATATATTAATTTTAAAATACTTACTGTGTAGCAATTTCAATATCATCGATATATTTACCTATCGATAGGATGTCGTGCGTTCTGTCGCGTATCGCAATGAAAGCGCCTTTTTCGATTTTGCACATTGTTCTTGTTGCTGTCCCTTGTGTGCATAATGGGGTGGAAAGTGTCTACGCTTTTCATCGTTGTTGTTGCTGCTTCAGTTTGAAATTGTAAGTCAATGAAGCGAGTAAACTTCAAGTTCGCGCTGTTACCGCGACTAAAGTTGTCTGGAAGAGATGTGAGTGCTCTTTTCAAATTGTTAATTGTTGTTATTTTCGTTGATTTCTTTATCTAGTAAGTGTACTTTTTGTTTGGTGTTCAAGTGTCTCTCTATCTCAATGTCTCACTGTGTTGCCATTTCTCCATGCACACATATTAAGCGGCAATACTTTTGCTTCTTTGTTTTTTGTGTAGACAAGTTCGAAAACCCAACATAACCAACAAACAAATAATCAAAACAATCAAAACAATCAAAACAACAACAACAACAGTCAATTGCAAGAAATCATCCTATAGTTTTGCCATTACTACACGTGCGACTGCTACAATAATAATTGTTTACATGTATTAAACTAACCGGGCGCCTCCATATCTCGCGCGAGCAGATGGTTACATTTCACTTGATTATGAAATTCTGGAGAAAAAAAAAAAAAAGAAACAGCAGTGGTGTGCCCCCCCGACTTCTTCGTCGCGCCGTCAGCTGCAATGTGCAGCTATTTTCCCACGTTCTGTTTCACCTTGCATTCGCCTCCTGGTTGGTAAAAATCAATATAAAACAAAGCAAAGCAAATATATGTACATATATAACTGACAGGGTCTGCTGCAACATACACGTGCTGTGTCGTAGGCTGTGTTAGCGTGTTTTTGACAAATGTCAAATCAATGAACGAACAGTTAACCAAATGAGGAGTCAGGCACACAACGAATCCTCAGCCCCTTTTTGGAGTTTACTTTGTTCGTCGTCAACGTCAACGGCGGCAGCTTCACGTGCATCTGTGTATGTGTGTGCGCCATGTGCTCACACATGTATGAACAAAATTGAGCGGCATTCGTTGTGCTTTATTTCTGCAATGAATGAAATTGGAATTCGGTTGCTCTCTCGCTCACGCTCTCTCTCTGTCACTGGTGAGCAATGTTCCTTTCTTATTGTTTTGGTTTTCTTTTCATTATTCTTTTGTCTGTGAGCATTTGTATGTATGTATGAAAAGTACACGGTGTAAGTACCTATCGTCAAATGGGTCAAGTTCAGTGGAATTTCATCAGTGTTTGTATGTGCGTGTATGTATATGGCAAGTGTTATCACAACGATTATCGTAAGGTGTTAAGGTCATCTGACTATGTCAATGCCATGAACTTGTTCTAGCGATTTCGCCAGAGTCACCGAAGTCATCGAAGCCTTACACCCGCACATCCACACACACACTTACACGCCTACGCGCATTTGCGACAGATAGCTTAAGACGCTCTTGCTCTATCTCTTTTCACTCTCTTTTGTTGCCATTCAGTCTAAGTTGTTGCGACTGCAAAAGTTAATTGATTAAACAAAATCATATTTGCCCTTATCAACAAACGTCGTTGTGCAACCCATGCTTGTCCTGCACTCTTATATATTTATATATACATACATATACATACATATGTATGTATGCATGTATATATGTACGTATACATATTCTTATCTGTCCATTGCTGCTATGATAAGTTCATGTTAGCAACACGTCCTATATACCCCGCACGCCTTGCCGTTCAGGCGCGCATTAAAGTTTCTGGTTTTGGTTTGATGGTTTTATGCTGTCGCTCTTCTTCTCTCTCGCTCTTAAGATAAATTTCCCTTCAGCTTTTTTTTTTTTTTTTGCATTCATTAGAGTCTCTTGTGTGTTTGCTGCTGCTGGGTTCGTCGCTCTTTGCCGATCGACATGAGAATTCGCCTTTAGTTTTCAGTTGCCGTTCAACATTGAAACTTGTGTCAGCAGGAAAGGTAAAGTTTGTTCAATATGAATGAATATACCGAAAAATATATACATATATTAGAGTAGTCGCAGTTGGCGTTGCGTCTTCGTTAACCGGTTTAAATGTTTGTTTAGTTTTTTTTTTTTTTTTTTTTGGCACTGCCATGCACAATTTGTTGAGTAAACAGTACGCGGCGAAAATATTAGACCCTGTTGCGCCTGTGTGCAAAAGCTCTTTCGCTTTTACCGATTCATAGTGCAAGTGTGCGTAATATTTGTAGCCTCTACTGTCCGACTACGAAATAGGCTTTGTCTTAGTTTTGTTTTGGAATTACAATACACATACATACATTTCTTTCTTTTCTTTTGGTTCTCTTTTTATCACGTACTATCTTTGCAAAATTCACGCCCACTTGTTGTTGTCAGTTGTCAACGTCCACAGCGTACCCGAGGGCACACCATGAAGTCCATTAAGAGCAATATTAACAGTGGCGGCGAGAATAGTGCGTCCACAATGCGCCGCAGGCCCATACGTAAGCTATTTATACCACAGTTATATTATTTTGCTATCCCTTTTATTTATAGACACGTATGTACATATTTAGTTTATAGTTTTTAAGTTACATTTGCACAACTAACAAATATATAAATAATTACATTTCATTTAGTTGTAATCTAATTTATTTTGTTTCGCCATTTATTTGTTTTATTTTTAATGTATGCTATTTAAAAACATTTTACACTCATTTACACATTTACAATTGTTTATCTCTAATGCTGGCAATTATAATTATTTATTATATGTATTTGTTTTTATCAAATGGCTMACCATTTGGCCTAGTAACATTTGTTTATTATTATTATTATTTTATAATTATTGTTGTTGTTGTTGTCATTGTTGGCGGCCCTCCAATCATTGCCATTGTCGGCTATTGGCTTCGCTGTCCGCTGTCGGCGCGCCGCGGCGCATCGGCGCATAACGGTCAGCAGCACAGCTGTTCAAGTGGTTAGCGACTGAAAAAGAGAGTGAGAGAGAGAGAGAGAGAGCGAGCGGAGTTTGGCTTAAGTGCTCTTCTGTCACCTGCGTCATTGTATTGTGTTTACAAATTTCTAGCTGATTTAAGTGCACAGCGAAGCAGCGCGGACTTCGTTTGATTCATTTTGGCTCCAGCTCTCTCAAGGGCCTGCACGCGCGCGCGTTTCTCGCACGCACGCACGCACGCACGCGAAACTTTAAAAGCAAATCAGAAAAAATAATTGATAAATACGAATTGCTCAGAAATAGCTTGGGCACTTGTTTTGTCTTTGTTCTTCATTTTGCATTATCATATTCTCACCTTTAGTGACGTCAATTGTAGGACAGGTGTACCAAATGCTTATCTCACCGGATCCATTCACCGTGCGACGCGTTAATTGAGCTTGAAATATGATTATATGAGGCCTGTAATGCGAATATTTTGAATTCGATCGACTAGCAGTACGCCTGACTCTTCAGATGCTTTTCAAAGAATTCACAGAATGTTTACAACTAATCAGCTTAGAATATATCATTTTACAATAATATTTAGAACGAAATTATTTGAAACGTTTTCCAATATTGATTTTTTCTGCGGTAGTAATTTTAGATTTTATTTATGTATATGAGAAATTTTACACAATTGGGCAACGCAATTTTTTTCCAGTTGCACAGCGAAAATGAAACATTGTGGAAATAGAACACGCTCACATTTCGCTCTACATGTGCGTGAGTGTGGGTGTGTGTGTGTGTGTATGTGTATGTGTGCTTAACAGTTATTCTAGGCTTCTTTCAGCTTCTGTTAAGTCAAATGGCTGTGTCGCTTGAGTGAATGTTAATCCAGTTGGCTGTGCCATCTCTGACATTTTGACAGAGCAATTTGACTTGTGACGCTCAGCTGTTGACAGTGGCTCGCCGGCTTGCATAAGTATATGTGATAGAAGTTGAAATAMATACATACATACATGCATAGATATATGCGAATATATGGTGAGACGCAGATTGCGGTGTAAGTGTGCGGCTTTTCACTTGTGTGAATGTGTGTGCGTGTGTGGTTGTTTGCTTGTATATGTGTGTATGTGTTTGTGTGCAGTTAAGAAGCAGATTAAACAATAGCTGTCTAACAATAGCAATTTTTTTTTGCTGCCAAGGCATCAGCCACGGTCTCAGCAGCCGCAGTCAACATCAAATTAGCGCAGATAGCGCCACATACAGAGCGTGAGCGGATGAATCAACTTTGAGTACGATTGTTGGCTGCGCTCCGTTTGCCGTTTCAGCTTGCTGTTTCGACTAAAATGTCGAATTAATATTCAAGTCGTTGCCGTTATTCCGAAATAAGTAGCAACTCGTGCCGCCTCCTGGTCACACCGTTATTCAAAATGGAGAAGCTGCGTCAGTGCGAGGCACTTTTGCTGGGCGGACGGGGTCGCAGCCCCCGTCACAGTCGCAGTCGGAATCGTGGGCGAGATACAAAATGCGGCTATGAGCCGCTGCTGAATAGCGATGATGATAATGCCAGCAGCGATGATGTGCGGAATGCAGGTATGTTCCAAAACATTCCAAAACATTCCAATAGCTTGCAGCGAGCGCGCAGCATCCAGACGAGAGAATCGCATTCCAGCGTTCTTAGTGAATGTGATTGGGAACAAGTTGTGAACAAAGAGATTTGTCAGGCCTTAATCTATGCTCTGTAAGGAATTACACTTAAATGTCTCATTGGAATGATAATTGTAGGCTTACCAAGTTCGCTTTAGCGTGTGTTTACTGCACCACATGGAGCAATGCTCTTTTCTTACCATGAAAACAAAAAGTAAAAACACCTGAGAACACCTTGCTGATAAAGCTGATATTTGTCAGCATCTAAGATAATTTCATGTTAAGCGGAAGCACCTTCAAGCTGTCCAAACTAGGTATATAGTATACATATCTACACAGATATATCCGTGCACACATATAAAAGAGAAACATGTGTTTTTGCATATATGGATGTTATCGTTATTATCACTAACATTGTTATTATAGGTAATTTGAGTATAAGCTTCAACTTACAAACATACATCTATATACATATAAGACTACTAACACAGTGTTCTACTAGCGGGGTATCCATATCATATCATAATATCTCATAATGATCTTTATGAATAGTTTAACAAATTGTCTATCATCAAATATTTGAAGACTACTACTATAAACCAAATACGTCAACTACAGACCTTAAACTACCCAGATTTTTGTGTGCACGGCTTAGGCAGGCTATACTGTACTCTACACTAACACTAACCTTATGATATATGATATAAAGCTTGTCATCTTTGTCACTCTCCAACCCAATGAGAGCTACTGTTGCGGTTAATTAAACCCATTTCTCTGACCTTTCAACATATCTAGAATTTTATAGATAGAGGTGAATGCATAAGAGAGATTAAGATTAATCCAGTTTTATGCTTGATTATAATCTGTCTTATATATAAATGTAGAGCTCGGCATTTCATGTGCTCTTCTGCAAAATATGGGGGAGCATACTTTTGGGCATATTGAAATTAGGCTGCCAAAATTTTGGATGGAACTACCTTATGAATTGCAGATATTTGCACTTTTAAAAGCGTTTTCGAATTCAGCAATGCTGATGATTAGTTAAGAGAGCTATATAAGGTGTAACTAAATACTATGATTTGAGGGTGTTCTTCTTTGTCTTTGAAATCATTTAACTTATTTTTGTACAAGTGGCCTTAAGAAATTTAACCTACCTATGCAGATTTTAACGATGTTTCTTTCTTATAAGCTGGATTCTTAGGTTGCTTGGGTATTGCATGAAAATATTCATTACATAAAACGATTTATTTATCTTTATATATTGTATTTGATTATATAGTATCGAAATTTATACCATATTTTAGAAATGGTTAAGATGTATTCCAAAATTAGCTAAGTTAGGCCATCTAAGGGCTCGACTTGTAGGAAGGTATTCCATTCAATAGTCACTTCAAAACGATATAAAAGAGGTAGAGAAGCTGAGGAATCTATCAGCTTTTAATCGAAACACTGATTAATAATTTTGGGCTAATCATTTGGGCAAGGGTGTTAAAACTTCGGCATGAATCTAATTCATGAAGTTCCAGCTCCAGTTCGATTGAAATTCACTCAGTGTATAAAGTGATTATAGTATAAAGATATTATAATGTTGGTATCATATTCAAGCAAGGGCATGTCCACATCGACTTCTAATGGCCTATTTCCGTCGGTTTTTTTTTTTTTTTTTTTTTTAGTGACAACAGCTATTATCGGCGTTAATCTATGTTTATTTCAATACACTAATTTATGGTTAATTTTCATTATTTTGCTGTAGAGCACAAAACGTTCGTATAATTTGGCTGTGCTCAACTGCGCGCTCTTCAAATTTCACTTTTTTTCCTAAAAAGAGCAGACCGTTAGCCGCCCAACCAAATTTACGCCGGAATTATGAGTTATCAGGTGATGGCACCAACAACAACAACAACAACAACGTGGACGTCGACGTCTAGTCATCACTAGCGGCAGCTCGTGCTAAACGGATTGTAAAGCAATTCGCAGCGCTAAAAAAATATGAAAAACAAAACGAAAAAAAAAAAAAAGAAAACCAACAAAAATTTCCTTGAATTCCAATTCATTGGCAATGGATCGTCCCACCCGCCCACACATTCAAGCCCTTGGCGTCTTTGATAACTGTCCTAAACCAAACTAAACTTCCTCGGAAGAACTCATTTGAGGCGCAATAAGACAGACGTCTTACAGTTGAAAAAGATAATGTCCATACTTGATATATGTACAAATATGATATGGTCATATGGTCTATATCTTAATATCTCAGTAGAATTTAATCGCACAAACACTTTATTTATCGTTAATTAGTCATAACATTGTTGTTCGTTTGAAATTTGAATTGGATTATAGCGCTGTAAAGATTAGGCTCTACAAATCGGCTGGCTGCCCTGGGTCGTAGCTCTTTGATGATTTCATTAGTTTATGGCTTTTAGTGTTCCATAAAACTAATTTCAGTTACCCAATTTGTTCGGGTCAGATAATGTTTTGTGCTCGAGTTTGATTTAATAGTACTACTATTTTTGGTTAGCTTATCGCTTATGGGGCTCGTGAAATTGGCGAATTTCACCCATTAGCGCGGAAAAGGAGTGAAAAATATTTACGATATAGAGGTATAAAATATAGATATATATATGTACATAGAAAGTATATACCATTTATATGTACTATATTTATTTGTTCGATATTTTTTTTTAATCTTTGTCTTATAGTCGATCAGACTAGCATATAACTGATTATCTAGAGGTTTAATAAGGAAAAAACTCTATCATAGCATTTTCTATGGGGCTTCTCGATAACTAAACTTTGGTTCGGTTTGAATCATTTGAGACTCTTTAGAAAAAGCTTTCAAAATGATCTTTATAATATTCGATTCCGGATTCGATTCAATTTGATTTACTTTGCCTGTTACTGGAGCAATTTGTGTGTGTGTGTCTAGGAAGTCTTATATGGAAATTGAGCTTTACCTATTAATAGAGCCGTAGTTAACGCTAATTTCAATTGCCATTGCGTATGGGTGACAACTCGCCCTAACTGAAGGCTCAGGGGCAAGGTCGTCGTTGCGTATTAGGCTAAGCCAGCAAAAAAAAAATAAATAAAATAAA